CAGCACAGATCTAACCCGGAAACCACAAAGACTGAAAGGATCTTTCATAGCAGTAATGATACCGTGTTCCTCTCCTCTGCAGCTGCATTTTGAAAACAAAAGACCAAGAGGCAAAGTTGCCACCCACAAGCAGAACTTGCAGCTCTGCAGTCATCAGGGACTCGTGCAAATAGACTTAGCGCAGATGCCAGGGAATATGCTTCCTACTGACACCAGGGAACAAGAACAAACAAAGCTATAACCTAATCTAGGGTGAGAACAATGTCTATTTTTGCATATTTAGCAAGGATAGGCTTAGACATGAGCTGAGAATTTAGCTTTGACCAAATTTTATTTGCAGTATTTGTAATACTCAGATTGGGTCAATCTATTAATAACTATATATATAGATATATAGTGTAGTAGACTATATATAGTATATGTCGTACTAATAGATAGTAATCAATCTATCACTTCTCTGAAAGAGTGGTCAGGCACTGGAATGGGCTGCCCAGGGAGGTGGTGGAGTCACCAACCTTGAGGTGTTCAAGGAATGTTTGGACGTTGTGCTGAGGTTTAGTGAGAGCTGTTGGTGATCGGTGGGTGGTTGGACTGGGTGATCCTGTGGGTTTTTTCCAACCTTGGTGATTCTATGATTCTATGATTCTATTGTAGGAAAAAAAAAACAACAACAGGAAATATCCGCAAAATGAGGTGGCTCTTGCATTTCCACTTGGTTGCAACTCTGTAGGTACTCACATCTGTGTACATATTCCAGCTGCATGAAAGATTTCTTATCAAAAAGATCAGAAGACATGTTGAAGCACAACCATTAGTTAGATGAGTCCATTATTTCAAATGAAATGTAGATGAGTTGAAGTCTATGCACGGATGAATTCTTTTTACTACAATGTTTTGCTAGGCCAGGTTTATTTGTGTACTTCTGGGCTAAGTGCTAGTACAGATAGTACTTCTGAACTGGCAAACAGTAGGTGAGTGACATAAGACAGAAGGCCTGATTTCATCAAGGCTTTGGTATGCCACTTGCTGGAAAATCTATTCTGATAAGTGCCATCCAGTGTTATTAAATGTGGCATTGGAAGATAAACTAAGTCCCTGCCAAGGAACTGCCATTGTGAACTTGTTTGCTCTCGTTCATACAGACAGGCCTAATGTTAGTCGTTAATGGGAAAAGGTCAGTGGGACTAGGAAGGGCTTGGCTACATCTGGCTTTAGCTTCTGAAATCCCCAGCCACATAGCAGCAGTGTAATTCTGTAAGCTTAGTATGTAGAAGTTCAGCTCTTCCTTCTCTTGGACAAATTCAAGAGCATGAACTGGAAGTAAAAAACTGGACCTATAACTGTGTGGTATTTCATGTGCACTTGATGTCTCAGTACCCCATGTGAGAAGAGGAGGGTAAAGAATCAAGTTGATGAAGCATGATCTGCTTCTGAGCACCTGACACCCTTCCCCTCTACCCAAGGCTGTCTGAAATGCCTATGGAAAGCTCTTCCAAGAATTCCTCAATACTGTATTTCAGATGTCGTGCTATTTGTTTTCTTCTTCACCTGCTAAGAGTTCACCGCCTTAGCTGCCCAGGACTTGATAATCTTCTCTGGATCAGTATGCACTGCTTGGATTTCTGACGCCGCCTCTGTGTGACCTGTCCTCTGCTTGCCAGATACTTGCAGGCTCACACGAGGCACCCACGCTCAGATGGAGATACTGGAATGGCTTATTTCTTCTGAGTTGGTCAGGATCGCACCTGCACCACCCTAAAATAAGAGCATCATATCAAATAGCACTTGGTGCTCCTGAATGCATTTGTCTTCTCCAACCTATGAGGCAGGGAAGAACTACTTTCTCTCTGCTGTGGAAAGGAAACAGAAGAACTGAGACGCCAGTGCCCACATCTACAAAGGTATTTAAGCTCTCTCTGGGATCTGAGCATCGTGGCCAAGTTATCTGTTGATAGTCACACACAGTCTGGGACAGCAGGTGCCTAAAGCCATGCTTCCAAAGCCCTAAGCTACAGCCCTTATTGCAAGGATTGGATTTCTCCAAAACTCCTTTCAGGATCAATTCTAAGAAAGGGCTGACATGCTGGTGCCAGTTCCTCTGGTTACTTTCCATGGTGCCCCATGTCCCCAGACGTGCTGTGCAGGGTCCTTTACAGGGGTTGCTCTCAGCACCTCGTGGCAACCAGCTCTGCTTGTTCCTGGTGGGTGCTGTGGAGGAAACCACCTGTTGCTGTAAATCTGTTGGCGTTTCCTCATCTCTTCTGCATCCCCTTTCAATTGCTGTAACTACATCTGTGTGACCTGTTCTCTCCTGCTATGTAGAAACTTGGGCAGTCACACGGGGACATGTAGGGTAACTTGTACTCCCCTGACCCTGTAATTATAGAAGGGTCAGTTTATTTCCAGAAAGTATAGCTTACATATGGTTTTCCTTTCATTATTTTGGATGGAGTGACTTGTCAGCTAGAAGGGCTCTGCTTGTTCCCTGCAGCAACAGCAAGTAAATACCTGACCTATTTAGAAAAACATAAAGGAAACAATAGAGACCTGGAGAAGTCTTTGGATGCAAGATGCTTGCTGAACTGTGCGTGACCCTCTGAAGAGCAACATTAGCTTAAAATATTAGTGCATGTTATTTAGTGAAGATAAAAGAATATTAGAGAAAATATACAAGTCTTGAGGTCAAAGGTTCCTGTGCAGTCCATTTCCCATTGAAATCAAATGACCAAAATGAGGAGGTCAGCAGAAGTTTGCTTGAATTTGGATTGAGAGAAAACAAGGAAAGCTTCTTGTTCACTCCGGGGAGTGCTGTTATCAAGAAGATCTCATCATAACAGAACGTCAGGATTTTCAAAATTAATTAATTGGTTTGCTTGCCTCTCTTGAAATGGGCAGAGAAGAGCAACTTTTGGGAAGGTGTGAGAGGCCACTGAGCACCATGGAGACCCATGCTTATCCTAGAAGTGTTAGCCAATACTTTGAGTGTGCTTTGAAGTATTTGACCCATCTAATGTCAGATCAGGCTCCAGGGGATAAATTAGGGAATTTAGACATGGTTGAAGTCTTTCCTTCTGCCATCTTGGACATCTGTGCTCTGCATCCCTTTTTGTGCTGAGGCAAGCACATAATGTCCAAAGAATGGAGATGCCTGATGTAAGTTTTAAGATTTCAGGATGCACTGAACTCACCAATGCAGGTGGTGAATGCAGAGTCCTGAGGAGTAGTGTTTGGAAGACAAGGTTGAAGAACTCCTGTGGTTCACAAATTCTACTTTGGAACTGGATAGTTGAGTACTGCCAGTTCCTAGAATCAGCTTAAAGTTAACAGAGTGATGGCAGATGCCCAAACATCCTCACAATCCTCTATTTGCAGGCAGTTTTCATCACAGTACAGACAAAATATAATGTTTTTTAAAAGCAACACACCCTGCAGGTCTCTGTCCTCACCACCAACTCTATGAAATTTAAGCTACCAAAAAAGAAAGAGGGAGAGAGTGAATTCTTACAAATAATGTAACTGGATAACCTTGAAAGTGTCAAAAAAATGTGTGAGACTTTGATACATTTTTATCCTCTTAAAATAAAACAGATGCTGAGGGGATGCTATCGTAAGGCATCTCAGGAAGGCTGGTGCAAAATACTGAAATAGCTAAAATATTTGGTTTTTTTTCCAAGAGAAAAGCTAAGAATGGGCTCCCCAGGGCAGTGGGCATGGCCATGAACTGCTGGAGTTCATGGAGTGTTTGGACAGTGCTCAGACAGTGGTTTGAATTTTGGGTGGTGCTAGGGTGGAGGCAGGTGTTGGACTCGATGATCCTTGTGAGCCCATTCCAATTCATGGTATTTTATGATTTTCAATTAATCTGAATTTTGAAATAAGGTTTCAAGAATGCTTTTCACATCCAGGAACATGATGAGAGACTTCTAGCTTATGTGAGTGACTGCCTCCAGGCAGAAGAGCCATTGCTTAAGCAATAGCATTTCTGCTCCCCAGGTGTGACACTGCTTGTATTCAGGTTCTTTTAATAAGGCCATTCTTCTTCTGAAGGGTCTGTAACTCCATATTTAATCCATTCTTGATTTCAGTGGAAGGCAGCGTACAGAAACAAATTGTAACGACAGAAGGTGGGGGCTAACTTCAGCTCTATTATTTAGAAAAGGCTTTCCTAACATCGCTAGTCTTTAAAAGAGCATTTATTATTTTTTGGCAGCCTCGCTCAGAATCAGACCTCCATTCATTTTATGCCTCTCAGTATTTATCCAGCACATCATCTGTTCATGTAAGTTCATCGTTATGTAGGTGTGGTTGCTTTGTAAATAGCAGATATCTGCAGTGGGACTGTACAGAAGCTGCCTTTGGCAGTTCATGAGAGACAGCATTTTTTCAGGCTTTAGAGGATTTGTTTGCAATACCTCTGTGGGGTGGGTAGTGTCCTTATTGTAATGGTGTGGCAATGGAGACACAAAAGGAATGACATATTTTGCTTGCGATCACTCAGGAGCTCCCTTCTCATTTGACTGCCACCTAAGTGCTGCTAGTGTACACTGAGAAACCAACTCTCACGTCCACTAGTAGTGATAATAGGAGTAAAGTATGAAATATGGGAAGAAATGGCTGTCAAGAGAGTCCCATCTGTTCACCAGGCACTGAGATCACAGTCCGTCTCCCTACGGATGCTTTGCACTTTCCTGAAAACATAACCTAATCCCATGAGCGGATAAAAGGTCAGACAGTGAGGATAATGTGCTCCTGAGCTTCTGGCTCCTTTGACATTTTCCCTGTCTTGGACAAACCTTCTCTCTTTCTCAGCAGTTAACTGAGTACAAATCTCAGTATTCTCCTCCTTATGGTTTATTATGAATTTATTAGGAAAAAAACCCAATCCCTTCAGCTATGAAAATCACCCTCTTATGTCTATAAATAGGTTTAACCTCTTAAACTGTGTCAGATGCTGCTGATTCACCAATCTGATCCAGATCTTCAGATATTCTCTGCTCCTGCAGCTCCAGGGCAAGTGACTCATGCTGTCTACAAGTGCAGCATCCCGCTGAGCCTGGCAGAACCACGATGCTGCTGACAGTGCCTGCAGATTTCTACTGAAACCTTGGCAAGGGATTTTCTCCAGATCAAGGTGAGCTCACCAACATCCTGCAGCCCTGCAAGCTGTATTGTATTTACGTGAAAATCCATGCACTAGTCCAACCACAGATCAGCAGAGGAAAAATGTCTTACAGAATCAAAGAAATATGATAAAGGCAAAACCCAACTGATACATGTAATCACCTTCCCAGCTGCATTTCCCTAGCAAGCCTAGCAAGGTTTGTCTGTCCTGCCTATCACCTTATTTTTGAAATTGCCTTGGAAATCTGAAAGAGAAATGCTGAAGTATTTTCAGTCAATCTAAGTGGTTTTTATAGTTTGTATCTGATAATCAGAGAGCCTTATCTGGCTGTGTGTTCCTTCCTTGCTCTGTAAAGCAGGAAAAAATCACATTCTCAGTTTTTTTGTTTGTTTGTTTGTTTGCCAGTTACCTTTACTGGGGAAGGGGAATATTTGGATGTTGAAAAGCAGCAGAAAAAGCTCTTTTCCTATATATGTTTTAGGGCGATAGTGTCCTTCCAGCTGTGGGGCACCTGGAGACAGAAGAGGATGGCATTAGCTGATGCCTTGCCACCACTTATTCCATGCTTCCTTGGGCCTTAGTACTTGTCTGGTCTAATTTGTGTGCTGATCAGTGTGATTGTGTGCTGGTCAGTGTGCCAGGAAGCCACTAGGAAGAACTAAATTTTATCTCAGGTGTACTTCATTTATCCAGGTTAAGGTGTAAGGTGTTGCTCTTGCTTAATGAATGAGCTGAATGCTCTGAAACTCTGCTGATAACACTTTGAGGATCATCTGCATCCTCTGCTCTGCATCCCTCATAGAATCTTTAGGGTAAAGACTACTGTGTTTTACATTGCAATCACAAGTAATGGACTCTTGGTTTGAAAGCTATGATTAATTGTGCATGTCATTTTTAAAAACAGAAGATTAAGCTTGGAAGAGCAAACACAGTTTTGACTTCTCTGTCATTTACATTTCAGTCTGCAGACCACTCTTCTTTCACTGAGTGTTATTCTGGTGAGGGTCCAGAACCCTCTCTGACTGGAGAAGAAACTGACTGCTTGTATTGAGATTTGTTTGAAGTTATCATGAGCAAAAAGACAACTCTAACAGAGTTAGACAGGCTCTATTTAGATCCTAAATCTCTCATCTCGAAGACTTTGGAACTTCAGTCAGCACCTCTCAAGCCCAAGTACTGCTTTCATATAAAAAGGACTGAATTTTTCCTTTAATACCAGCTACATTTAATACAGTTTCTTGAAGGACATCCATAGGACTTCTCAGTTTTCACAGAATCATAGAATCATTCAAGGTGGAAAAGACCTTTAAGATCATCAGCTCCAACCATCAGCCTGAACTACTGAGTCCCACCACTAAACCATGTCCTTGTTCAAGGCTTGAGCTGGTGCCTGGTTAAGCTGCTGGGAGCCTTCTCCTTCGGATGCCCTGTCTATCTATGTCTGTACTGCTTGCATGAGCATGAGTTTGTTCATGCTGTAGTTGGGGAAATTTGGGATCCTATTAATAGTTAATCCATGTGCAAACTCTCTTGAAAGGGGATCCAGGGCAGAAGCGTGGCCTAAAGCTCACAGCTGTGGGCACCATAGACACAACCTGGGCGACAAAAGTCCTTCCAGACCTTTGCACAGGACAGACCCTGGGAAAACACTTGGCAATGGCAGCAGGAAGATTTGTGCTCTGCCACTGGCAGCCTATCTGTGAACCGCAGTGCAGAGCAGTAGAGTTTCCTCCAGGACTCAGCCCTTTGCTTGCCCCCAAGGGATGCCATCCTGCCAGGTGGCAGCAGGCTATGGCCACTCATGCCCTGATGCCCTGCACTGGTTTCCTGTGTCACACTTGATAGTGCTGTTTATGCCAAAGGCAGAATTTTCCTGACAGGGGCCATGCTCTGTAGTGCTCAGGCTGTCTGTAAGAGTAAGAGCCCTGCCCAGGGAACAGATAAACAGAACAATGTTTGAGCCTCTGGTACTCTTTAAAGTCATTTTCTGGGAAACGTATGTGTCATAACAACATAAAGCAGGCATATTTCCCTTGCTTTCGATCTGCCTGGTGCCAGGGTCTACGTCATTTCAGCACTGAAGCAGATCCAGCAAGTTCATGGTAACTTTGCTCTCCCCAGAGCTGCCTCTTTTGCCCCCTTGGTTTGTGCTTGCCTCTTGCCTTGCAGCAGCTTCCCTCACCCTTTTCAGGGTGAACATCACATCTGTTATGGTTAATATCTCATTTTCATGGGAAGCCCTTGGGAACTGGGCCCTTATCTCCACATACCATACACATCAAAACTGTTTAATCAACACTATTAATTCCAGGACTGGCTGCTGATCTGGATAAAACACTGTGCTTTCCCAGCACCAAAGGTTCATAGCCAAGCTGCACATTTCAGCAGCTCTCATACAGATTTCTCTCTGCTCCTCAGGGCTGGACACATTCACCCACTGTCCCCCTGCTCTTGTAGAAAGGTGTCTGGAATCTGCATTAAGGGTCTGGTCTATTTTGATTGTTTTGCCAGACCAGGAGCATCCCACTACCTTGAAAACTGGGGTTTTAAAAGGAGTTAAGAGTCCCTGGTGTCATTTTCTACAGTCTTGGGGTGTCATTGCCACTTCAGGGCACCCACAGAGCACATCTGCTCAGAATTTTGGCCTAAGAATGTGCAAGAGGAAAGCGAAACTTCAGCAAGGAGCCAAGTCCAGGGGAAATTTGTTCTTAAGGCTGTGGCATCAGTGTACCTGAGGATGGGGATGTGCCTCTGCTCTGATCCAGTGAGTCTGTCTTGTTTAGGGAGGTGTAACGGAACATGGCTCCTTCAACAAGACCCAGAAACAATTTTTGGGAAGACTGCATATGGGAGGACTGGATAAAAGAGGATGGGTTATAAATAGATATCTCCTGACCAGATGAAGAGGTGGACCGTTTTCTGCCACATTTCCCCACCTCCAGCAGTATTTCACCCTGAACCTAAAGCATCTCCAACGGCGGTGGGGATGGCTTGTGATTACAACACTTCAAGGTATGCAGCTAAAGCCTCGGGACTTCTCGAGACACGCTGCTCCTTGCTTTTCTCGGAAAGAGTTCTCACAGCAAGAAAGCAACGCAGGCAAACAAAGCCACACAGCAAAATGACAAGCAGCAGCTGGAACACGTGGGCAGCCCACAGAGTGACAGGGCAGTTGGGCTCCTTGCTTCTCTGCTGCTGTTTTGGAAACCTCAGTAAACAGAAGAGCCCAGATCAATCTCAGTGCTCCGGCACAAACTCTGTACAGCCCCATTGACTTTAGTGGCAAAACCTGAGATACATGTTCCTTCCTATGCATCATGCACAAGCTAGTCTAAAAAAGCTGCTGAAAACACTATTAGCTGCCCACTAGTTAGCAGGTCTCAGCTTGTTGCAGGGAGGAATTTGTGCTCATTTGTGTCACGAAGAATATGAGCGTTTAATGTCTGTGGGGGAGCGTTAGCAGCTGGAAAAAAGAAAGTATGTATGTTTATATTTTGAAAAAAGGGATTGTTTTTGCCGCTCTCAATTATTAATGTCTCTCAGGTCAGGCTAAGGAACAACGCCAGGGATAAGTTACCCCGTGTACTATTCAGATATGCTCTCCCCAACTGTTTCCTTCTCAGCTAGAGGATTCACCTCGCAATGAACTCCTTAACGGTTGGAAAAAAGACCGACAGAGGCTGAACTCGCTGTGCCCGTTTATTTATGCAGAAACAGCTTTTCAACTTCGTCAGGTGTGTTTAATCAAAAAGAAGCAGGAAATGCGTTATGATTATAAACACATATTAGTGCACAAGCAAAAGGCCGCCCTTGGAAAGGATTGTACTGTTTGAGAAATGGTTACAGTGAAAAAGCACAGGCTTAACCTATGGAGCTCTTTGCTAAGATCAAAGCGGTGCTGCCATGAGCTGCCATGAGCTGTCTGGGTGGTGGGGTTCAGCTGTGGGCTTCCAGTGAGGGAAATGGAAGAAGGTTAAAAAGAAAGTGTTATCATCTTTCCTTTTTTCTTTTGCCTAAAACATTTTCCCTAGTCTAAAAAAATGACTCAGACGTTAAATATTTGCTGTTAAAATTAATAGAATTAGTGAAGATTCCAGCTGAGAACACAGTAATTAGGGCCTGGTCCAAAGCCCGTGGAGAAACTCATTGTTTTCAACAGGGTCTGGCTCAGGGCCCTGGTGAGACAAAGCGATGATGGAGTTAAGGCACAGCCCTGGGACAGCTTGGATTCCCCACAGACTTTCCATGTGACTGTGCCCAAACTTGCACACGTTCCTTAGTCCTGAGCACAACCAACCTCAAGCTGCTGCAAAAAGCAAATATCCTGCTGGGCTGCGTGGCTGGGTGTACTGTGGGTAAGATGCAGGAGGGATTCAATGCACTTCTTTGGCACCATAATGCTGTGCTTAAAATAAAAAATAAAAAAAATAATACAGACAAATTGGAAATTGCCCAAGGGAGAGGAACAGAAATGATAGGAGGTCCAGAAACATTACTTATGAGGCAAGATTGAAGGGGCTGGGTTTGTTTAGTCTACAGAATTCAAAGTGCTAAAAAACTTTAAAAATGTAAAGAATGATGTGACACCACAAAGGGCAATCAATTGCCCCTTAACTATGTGGGGATAGCTGAATGTACAGCAAAAAAGTTTTAGGTTGTTGAACGCTGAGAGGTTACTAAAGCACTCTAGTGTGTACGCTGGGGAGGGAGCAAAGTGTCTCTCATGAGAGATTTTCAATGTGCTGGACATGTACGTGTGATGAGGGATTGGGTAACTTGCTGTCACAAAGAGCAGCCTGTTTTCAGACTCAGTCCTACAGTTTCCGTGACTTAGTGACTGTTATGGGACACTCAGATATGAGACTTTGGAAGTGATGAGTCTTCACAGCCCTCCTTGATTCGGGAAAATCCAGCAGCTGCTCTGCCCTCAAAATCAAGTATCCTTTCTGCAAACCCTCATTTCTTTGGTCTCCACAGTTATTAAATAAAGAGCAATACCCACATCTGCATGGAGCCACAGACATATTCGTGAAGTATCTTGCTTCCCTCCAGTAAGGGATTCCCATTGAATCGAACACTTGAATGCTCACATATCAGGATGATGAGGCCTCTGGAAAAGCACATGATGATTCAGAAAGTGTAGGGGGTAGTGGTAGCCTGCAGACCAGGTTCAGAGAAGTCTCCTCCTGACACTGGAGGAGGGGTTGCGTTGCTGACTCCTGCTAGAAGAGCTTTCACACGTATCACCACTAAGCACAGCTGCAAAGCACTTGGGAGGGTAAATATTGCTCTGAGTGGATCAGGTGGTGGCCAGAGTCTGAGCAGACAAGCAGCATCCCTTCTCCTTTTAGCTCCGGCCCTGAGGCAATAGAGCCCTGCCCTGAAAGAACAGAGGGTGATGTGAGCCTCCTTAAAGGCCAGGGGAAGAATGCTGTGCTCAGCACTGCTGTGACTGTTCCTTTTCTTTGCACTCCGTTTCCTGCCCAGTGTCAGTTATGAGAGGTACTATTTGGTCCTTGTGTGAATACTGAGAAAATTGTTAGTTATATGATATGGGAATTAAGAAAATCTGTCTGCTTCCAAGCATAAACCAATGACTGTGACAACGATTTGCAAACACAGGGTTATGACCCCAAGTTGGCTTTTTTTTTCCCCTCAGTTCTGGGTACAGTCACGAGCCTGGCAGTAATCCGTGTAAGCTACAATGTGTGGCAATGACTGGCGTCTCCCAGAGTCTTTGAGCTGAGTGGGATCGCAACAGGAAAAAGTTTGGGAAAGTGCCACTGAAAGTTTAGGAATAAACAACTCCCATGGGCAGGCTGTCCATAATTGGCCATGACAAGGCTTCTTTCTCCAGAGAGCCAGAGCTGGCCTGTGAGGAAACAGAATGAATCACTGCTCTGGTCCAATTTGGCAAGTGCTGTGATTTAGCCCTGCTTTGCACGGGAGGAGATGATACAGACTGAAAGGCAGGAGAACTGTAGCCAGCGGCTTCCGAGCGGGGGGATGAGTTTGGGTTCCCACTTATTTCTTGTTGGTTTACTCAGCTCCTTAGAAGGAAACCCAGGCAAAAACCACTGATACAAAAACAGTTCGCTTTATCAACAATGTAGAGGAGACAATGGGGACTCCTCAACACAAAGCTCATACAAACAAAAATAAACATTTTATTTTGCATTGTTAAAATAGCATTCAATATGCAAGTCCTCCTTCCAAGCTCCAGCTTTGTTAACTATTTCTGTTGACTTTCTGCTTCTGGTTACAGATTTACAAGAGGATATCATAGAGGTTGGAACTAGTGTCCTGCAACATGGTGATGACCACGTGGCTGTGCAGCCTTCTGTGAAGAGGATGGTAGAGTGTGGTTTCCTCAAGCCACCCTGTGCCCTTGGAAAAGTCCCACTTTCTTCTGAATATGAGGAAAATGGTGTGTATTTTATGCTATTCTTTTTCTAGATGGTGGTCACCAGAGCAATCTTAAAAGCTCCTTGTTATCTCAACAATCTTACGAAGCCTAATAATCAGTTCACAGCCTGTTCAGTATCTGATGATTAATCCCCTCCCATAAAAATACTGGCAGAACCCCATAAAAATATTGGTGGAGCCAGAGCTCCTCTGCCAAGTGGCAGACTTAGATTTGCTCTTCTTGGAAAGCTGGTTTCCTGTCACTGGGATTGTCTCATCACTGCTTTCCAGTGGTTTGGAAAGAGGTGAAAGGGAAAAAAATGTTCCACCCAAATACATCATCTCTTTTACATCTCCTTTCCTCCATCTGCTCTTTTGTTATTTCTAATTTCAGGAATACCATCAGCTGAAGATCTTCCTAACCAACCCTACTTCTATCCTCAGTGCAAAGGAAAAAGGAAGCTTCCTTCAAAGCAAAATCCTTCCAAAAAGAAGCCACAGATAATCTTTATTTCCGTTACCCTTCTGCTCCTTCGAAGAGCAGGCAATTGAAACAAAAATCTTCACTGCAACATGAAAGAGAGGTAGCTCAAGAAAATCAAATCTGCATCTTGTAATGTAAGCATTTAGATCAAAGCATCAGCCTTTTAATATTTTTTATATCAGTTTTCTATTGATATTAGAAACATTAAAAGTGTCAGTCTCATAAGATGTTTACTGCTAATGCAGACGGATGCTTCCAGGCTGGCTACACATTCAGAGCTTGGGGCTTCCTATTCCAAATGTTGCTGCCACTGGAAATAGAAAACTTGGTCGACTTGAAGCAGTATGGGCCATGACATGCAGCTGAGTAGTTCTGCTTCTTTGCACGCTAACATAAATGCAGGTTACCTAGATTTTACTTCCTCTGGAAGTACCAGCACTCCTATCTGCCTTTCATTTCAAAGTCTTCACAAGGCTGAATCCCGCACCAGGTTCCTACCCAGTAATTTTTCCTGCTTTCTCTTGAGATTCTGGATAATGCCTGAAGGCAGGACTTCAGCAGTGCCACATGCAGTATTGGTCAGATGAATATGGCATGAGCGTGAAGATCATGATCTTTCTGGCAGAGTAATTGGGGAATGACCAACCCCACTAGGACCTTCAAGCACAAGAGTTGTTGGGACTACAGGACGATTCTCTGTGCTCTATGCAGAGCAAGGAGGAGGAAAACAACAAACACCTGGGAAGTACCAAATGTAATTCAGAGAAGGTTAGAACAGGGTACACACTGGAGTGTAAGGCATCCATGGTCAAAGAGTTTGTGTGGCAGTTTTCCCTTTGGTGTCCATGTGTCAGTCTCTGGGTCATAGCAGTCCAAAGAATCTGAATCTTCAATGACATTGTCCACAGTGAGACATCGTCCTCCTGTAACATACAGCTTGTTCTTGATGACAGTGGCCCCATGATGCATTCGCCTGTCCCTCATGTCTGCACATTTGACAAACTTGTTGCCTTTTGTATCATAAGCAATTATTCTCCGAGTGTACCCTAAATGCAAAGATGGAGATAGAAGAGACAGATGCGAATTAGGGTTAGTGGCTCAGTTCATACTGGTACATAATTTGGCAGAACTAAGATATCTAAGATGGGAAATAATGATCTGTCACAGAACTGCTCGCCTATATACCTTCCTGTTTGTCTTCATCCTGTCTCCTATCACCTTGACAGCTAAGGCTCAATGAGCACTGGTGGCAGTCAACCTATTGAACACACTTGGAGCTTGCAGTTTTCCATATGCACTTTCAGACGTCCTTAAGTATTTCCCTTTACCCAAAAGGCTTCTAGAGCTTCACTCAGAAATATGGAAACCAATAGGAAGCCAGAAGGGACAGGGGGAGCAACAATGCCTTTCTGGGTTGGAGTTGTAGCTGTAAACCAAACGGTGCTGTGTACATGACAGTGTGCTCCCTCTGCTGCTTACTCCATTCCTATACCCTCCGTGTCACTTCTGTGTTGTCCACCGTGCTGGCAGCTCAGCAGTTGGCTCTACCACCGAGGGGTAGTTCAATCTCACATCACTGAGAGGCAGGGGCTGGTATGGGTCATGAGCAATGGAGGTAAGAAGTTTGTTCCCCAGCAGTAGCTTGTCTGTGTATCTCTTGTCTATGTAGATAATCAAGAAAGCTCATGGCAAACAAACTGCTTGGGGCCTTGTTGTGCAGGCCTTGAATCCACTTTCCCTAACCTGATACCATCAGCATCTGGGGTCAACACAGGCTCTTCAGATAAAAGGTGCATTGCAAAAGGTAGCAGTGGACTCTTGTAGGGAAACACAGTGCTTTTGAGTCCTATGTTATACAGGTTCACTCCTCTGTTAATGCTTCTCTATGTCTCATTCTTTCTTAAATAATCTAACGTGCTTTCTCTTGCCAGATTCTAGTCAGGGAAGCTGCATTAAGGACTGTGGAGTGCTGAGCTTGGTCACTACCAAGTCAAAGTGCCATGGACAGAGACGGATTCTTGTGTTAAATAAGGTGGAAGTTTCTCCTCTCCACATGGCTCATGCCCCTCTCAGAGCATTTCTCCATTGCCTCCAGGAGGCAGCTGGAGGAACAGTGGACCTCTCAACTCCAGCAATAAGCCCCTTAACCCACCCATCCCAACAAACTGCCCATGGCCATGTGGAAACCGTGCTCTTTACCTTTCCAAGAAAAGCCTTCAGAGAGGAACAAGCTATGAGTAAGAGGAGGGGCAGAGCCCCATGACTTTTTTCTTCCTTGCTTCCTCTACAGAGAAGTAACTCACAGGCTTTACCCCATTTTCCCCCACTTAAGTCCTGTTAACAGAGTGAGAAGGTGCGTGTAAATAATTTGTCCTCACCACCTTCATGGCCCTGAAACCCCATGAGAGATGTATATGGAGACTGGGCATAATCCACGTCTCCCTCACAAGTGCCACATGCTGTTGCAGCTCATACATGACTTTTGCTCCTGCAGCATGATAGCCATGCTCAGCATCAATGATTCTCATTGCTGACATAGCTGGCTGCCACTCTGATGATCCCTGGCCAGAGCAGTGTCATCCTGAGCAGGAAGCATGCAAAATCTTGCAGGATCTGTACATGTGCAGGCAGGAGGGTGGGTGAAAAAGAGCCCTTACCTCCCACGATAATAATCTGGTCTCCAATCACAACAGCTGGAGCACAGACGTTCTTCACCACTCTAGTCTCCATCCGAAACCACATATTCCTGGAGACATGGTAAACCTGACAAATAAATAAAGATGCACACACAGCTGTTTATGTTGCTTTTTGACTGGCAGTTGTAATTACAGAGAAATTTAAGGTTTTTATTTTGTCTTAATGAATACAATCCACGGGCTTGAACTGCTGGGAATTTTTTACCCACTCCTTTTTTCCTAGTAAGTCCCCTTGGAAAGCATTTGTGTTCCCCTGGATGGGCTGCTCAGCACGCACAATAAGGCAGAGAGTTTCTGTTCTGTGCAAACTTCTTCACTGTAAGTTATCCTATGGCCACTAAGTTGCTGTAACTCCTGGCTAACATTCTCCCAAAACCCAGGTCACATCCCTTCATTTTCCAATTTTCTGTGTAGATCTGCCTTCCTTCCCCATTTCCTGGGCAAGCCAACTGCAATTTCACCTAGCTCTGCTGGCAGCCTGTGTTTGCCCTGCTGCTATATTTGTGCTGGTGGCTGGTATGCACTCAGGTTGGCAAAGAGACTTGTTGATGGGACCTAGAGTGATATCTAAGTCATCAATTTATGTGAGAAAAAGAACTGCTGCCAGATGACGATCACTCAGTCATCTGTGTGTGGGTGACATAAACTTTTATGTCACGTCATCCGCTTCTCAGTATAGCAAATATCTTCAGGACATCTCCCCACGTTGATAATCATGTTTCCTTTGCCTTGATAATTAAGTAACATTATCATTATAAGTAAGTATTGCTCAAGTGCTGGCTGCTGTTTTGGCTTTTAGTGGTGCTTCTTAATTAAACTACCTAAACCAGTGAAAAACACTCAAGTGGAAAGTAACATTGCATCACTAAAGCGTCAAATCAGATAAGGAAGGATTTAATGTCCTTCACCCTCTTAATATAGCTTAACTACCAAAAGCAGGCAGAAAGCCAGCAACATGTGGCAGACTTTTAACACAACTGTTTATGTGAAATAACTGTCAGTTTAAGCTCTGGTCTTTTGATGAGTGTGAGTCTAATTGCTCTAATGATCTCAAACTGGCATCTTTGCTGTCACTGCAAAGGAGCAGATGTGCAGCTGAGGCTCCAGCTTAGCTGCAGGCTGGCCAAGCAACAAGCACTGATTTGGGTGAATGGTTACAAACGTGGAGGTGGCCATGGGGTCAGTTATTGCCTGCCATAGCAGCATCCACAGGAGCTCCCAAGACTTCCGTAGGAAATTCTCCTGTGACAGAGTCAGAAGCAGAGGAAGGGCCTCAGGCCTTATGTCTGAAAAATATTCCACGGGGAAAATGAAAGAACAACAATGCTCCTTAGACTCAAGACTTCCTTGAAGCAATGGTCAACTCATCCTGCCTGCTGTTGCAACTCACAAGAAAGTTTTATTTTGGAATTGACTTCTTCGTCAACGTGATGATGAACCACAGACAAATTGAGGCAAAACTGCCTATGTCAAGGAGGACTGACTGTTACCTGGATAAGCCGGACAGGGTTTTGCATAATGTCTTCTCCCCCAAAAAGGTACACCCTCTGGTCTTTGGCAGCAACAGCAGGATGAAGGACAGCAACAGGCATGTTTGCCATGCTCTCACAGGTGTTGTAGATGCTGTCATATCTTTCCACAGAATTCAGGATTTCTTGGTTTTCACCAATTCCACCGAATGATAAAATATAATTTTTATATGCCAAGCTTCTGTGGGAATAACGTGGAACTTGCATAGGCTCAACCAACCTCCACTGATTGAGTTTGAGGGAGTAAATGTAAATATTATCGCTGACTGGACTTTTCTTGTTGCTAACAGGCATCCCTCCAAGCACATAAATATTACTGTGTAAGCTCACTGCAGATGCTTTGTACAGGCGCACAGGAAGTTTGGCCAGGCTTAGCCATTGATTAGTCTTGTCATCATAGAGCAGGACATCCCTTGTGGTCTGCTGGTTGTCCTTCCTGCCACCGATGATGATGAGGAACTCTTGGTTGGAGTATCTGCGAGGAACGTGTACCATTGGCTTGATGTCAGGTGCATTGGTGCTGTACAAGGAGAACATGTGTCTCCGAGCTGACTCGAGAATGCTCCTGCAAGTGGGTGAAGACTGAACAAGGGAGTCATTGGCAATGAAATGGAAGAGGAAAGTTGGATGGACGTACTGAAGCCGGACCTTCTTGAACAAGTCTTGGATGTAGCGCTGTCTTGCCTGCAGGTCATGCCGGATCCAGACCATGAGTGTCTCGAAGACCTGCTCCTCCTCCCCACAGAGCTCATCATCCCCAAGGTAATCAAGGAGCTCCAAA